GATCATCAAATATGGCACATATTGCCATGCTTGTCTTTCCACAAAACTCTGGTTTGAGAAATTTTTGCTTTGCATATTCAGCCGGATCAATCCTGTAGGAGAACAAAGCACATAGGTTTGCCTTTCTAATCGGTTTTTCACACTGAAAATTAGTTTTCAGTGTGACACCTACTTTGCCTCCACTGCCGCCATAACTGCACTGTAAATCGAAAAGATTTGTTTCAGCCCCCAAAATGGGGCTGTTTCGTTGAGTAAAATACAGAACTATTCTTGGGGCTAATTCGGCCCTTCGGGAAATGAGTTTTTTTGGCCCCAGTAAGACGGGCAGAAATGGCCTTGTTTAGGGTTGTCAAAACTACGTCATAAGGGGGCTGTTTTAGAAACATGAGGGGTAGTTTTGGCTTTTAAAAGGATCAAAATGATGTGATTGGATAGCGAAATAAGCCGTTCTGGAGGCAACTCATGCCTCAGAGAGGCTGCTATTTAAGGCCAATTTAGCTCCATTTATGGTTCGAATTAGCGTAGTTTAATGGCGTCATCGGGATCATAGGGTCTGAAACGACACTCTTGATAGGAGCTGTTTTGGACATAAATAATGTAAAAGAGCCCTTTGAAAACGACTAAAATTAGTGGTACGATATAAAATGGCCACACTTGCTTCATTTCGTACTTGTACATTTGGTAAACAATGACCCCAAAGGGTGACTGATTTAGACCCTATAATATCAAAAGAGAGCACTTCTTAAGGTCGAAACAATGCAAACATAGTCCTGGATGGCTTCAATTGTTTATTTGATGTACACTCATTAAACAGCCCTTAGCAGCTGACACAGTTACAAATAAAACTCCTCTCATTAAACTAAGAACCACAAGAGGCATTGGAGTTAAATAGTCATACATACAAGAGAAGTAATTTGTCAACAAAATAAAAATATTACTTTCTCCAGCTAACCTCTTTCGACAAACAACAGAAAACCCGTGAATAACACCACTGTCAAAGGAGTCCAATCCCTGCCAGCATGTCAAATGTACATTTCAAATTGTATCTGCTCATATTCTAGTAATACTTATGGAGACTACAAATCATACAAATCAAATGATCATATGCTGATGAGAGTATTTTGGGAATTTCATCCCAAAAAAGGCGCTAACACTAAGAACAGTATTACCCCATGCAATAGGTAAGGGCCTGCAACAGGTCTAGACAATATTGCTTTGCTGTCTTTATACTGTATGTCTTGTAAATATAGCTTTTGCAGGAACGTATGGGGAAAAAAACAGCAGTGCATGCAACACTCTTGAAAGGTACTCAGAGCATCCAGTAATCAGTGAGCATTAATATGTCAAATAAAAAAATAAATTCATCAAACCCATGATGCCTCGTCCTAACAGTGATGTTTCCTTTGATTTCCCTGAAATCCTTGACCTAGAAACTAACCACAATTCATTTTGGGTTTGCCATTTGCACTTATTTTTCTTTTTTTCAAAAACCTTCTCGAAGCAGCTGTATATAAATATATGTATATATATATATATGTCTGCAAAAGGGCATCAAGATGTCAGATAAACAACTCTATCATTTGCAATTAGTGTTTTTTAGGTAACTTTCTGGTACGGCAAAGATGTTTGATGACACTGGCAGTAAATTGGAGGTATATGTATACGTTAAATTTTGTGACTTTTATAAGCTGGAGTCAGAAAAACCACATATTCTGTGCAAATGGAGATTAAACATTCAAAGTCCCTCTGAAGCCAAATTTTTTTTTGGCATTTTCTGGTTGATAGCTGTATTTAAAATAAGAAATAAGCGACCTTAGCGTCTAGAGAGTTCTCCATGACAATTTTTTGTGCATTGAAAGTACGATTTGGGAACGAAAAGGTGGCCATTCAGTGCGCGGCCAATAGGATCATGTTACATAGCTGTGACGTAGAAAACTGTGAAGACACGTCGGCAACAATGCTGGAGAAAGGAGAAACCTAGAAGAAAGGACGGACTTATTGCGTGGCCGGAGCGCCAAATGATGTTAGCTAAAAGAATGATACACATATGCCGATATTTCTATACAATACTTTCCAACAAAAGTAGCTGTATGGCCAAAATGGACGCGTTTTGATCGTCAAAATCGAGGAGATTTTACTCTTCAATTTCGCCGGCCCTATGCTCCGTACCGGCTCCTAAGACGCTTGTTACGAAAACATACCACTAGTCCAAGCAGGGGAAGATAACCAATGAATTTAGCTAAAAAGAATGCTGATTAAGGGGCCTGTTCCCAAACCGTACACGATTGTTCGACATTCTTTTCGTCTGAAATTTCGCAAGCGAAAAACGGTGAGCTCCTTATTGTTGTTTATTTCACGCGCTTGAGATGTACTCATACTCCTTGTCTTTCCACAAGACTACATTTGCGCTTTCCTTATCGTGTGAAAATCCTACCAATTGTAGTTTTCAATAACAAAAATACATCATTTTAATGAAGTTCAAGCCCTTCCCTGAGCTGGC